ATATATATATATATATATTAGGTTGAACCGGAATGTAATGTCGTTTATTTTTTAACAATAAATTCAAGCACAGCTTTTGAATTCTACGATGTGCTGATAAATGATAAATAAGTATTGAAAATGGGGGAAGGGACAGTATTGTGTATGGTGGGCGAGGAATGAACAAACCGTGACACGTTAAAAGAATAAGGAGAATGAATGAGTAAGGGAAGAGAAAGAGAGAGAGTATCCGAATAGTTGGGAAGATCTAGGAAAGTTGTTTACTAATAACTCTCAAATTAATTAGCTTAGGGAATCTAAACCACGGACGTGAGTTTTATCTATCATTCGATTGAGAGTTAGATCATTCTCTCATTCTCGTGGATGAGGAAATTATTATCAAGAAGACATTGGTGGGATGGATTTGTCGAGGAAGATTATCGTTAGTAGATAATACTCGATACTCAAGCAGCGATAGAGAAAGAGGGAAAGAGAGAGAGGGGCGGGGGAAGACTCGTTTACAGGAAAATGTTGGGCACGTGTATGTACACAAGCAACACAAACTTATTCCACCTTCTCCTCCACCCCCTCTTGACAGTAGTCGTAGTCGTCTTCCTCCAACTCCTACTCTTCCCTTCCCACCCCTTTCTACCATCCATTTTTCTTCTTTCCCTCAGCCAGCAACCACACCAACCCCTCTCTCTCTCTCTTACTCTCTCACAAGTCGTTTCTTTCTTCCCATCGTGGTGCTTATCGACTGCATTATTAAGTCGGTATATTTCCGTAGCCGATGTTATCGATCTATCTCTCTTTCTCTCTCTTTATTTTTATCTATCTATCTATATCTATCTCTCTCTCTCTCTCTCTCTCTCTCTCTCTCTCTCTTTCTATCTATCTCTCTGTATAAATAAGTACTTACGTAAATATTTATTTGTATATATATATATATATGTATATGCATACATAAATGCATATACGTGTTGGTAATTATGATATTGGCTTAAATCAAAAAAGAAAAGAGTATAATGATACGAATTTATTTTTTTTACGATTATATTTAATAATATATATATGTATTTTCTTTCTCTCTCTGAGAAATATTTTCTCTTTTTCTTTTTTTCTTTTCGATACACTATTAACTCCCAGTTGTAGAAGTTATTGCAGTCAACGCGTAAAAGAGAAATGTGTGATTAAAATAGATTTGATATATGATAATATATATATTATTTTATATAGATACTATTATATTATTAACATCACAATTCATTTGGAATTAATTGCAAGAGAGAGAGAGAGAGAGAGAGAGAGAAACGTATGCATTTAACATAATCCCGAACAATCGTTAAACTGTCTGATAAGTCTTAAATCTTTTCTTAACAAACCTAGAGAAAAAAATATCCATTTATATTATAAAATAAATATACATTTAATATAATGGTATATTAATACACTCATGCACACACACATACATACTACATATATTTTGCGAGTGCTTGAATAGCTCCGATATATACAACAGTAATATATATCTATATAAGGTTTAATATATATATATATATATATATATATATACATATACATATACCTTCTCTCGGGTTTGCCAGAGGCAGGCACAAGCAACCACCAGCAGCCCCCTGAAGCCATTCGTCCTGGAACAAGCGGTTAAAGGCGGACACGCGGTGTGCTAAGTGACAGCCACTAACCGATTTACGATCGTATTCGCGTGCGCGCGCGCGCGCCTACATATATCTAATCCCACCCACCCACATAATACATACATACATACATATACCCCTCTTTAGATTCGATACCATCCTCTCCTGTACTCTACTCTCTCTCTCTCTCTCTCTCTTGCTAGTACACTTTCCTGGTTAGAGGAAGTGTGGAAACTAGGAGTGGGGTACAACGGTGGAAGGAAAGGGTACGGGGGTGAGAAGAGGCAACGGTAATGTTCGATCGAAGTTCGATGCTCTCCAAACGAGATGATGTTAATTTGCACGAATTTCCGCGAGATATTTCTCTATCCTTGTTTTATATCATACCAAATTCCGGTGTTTTCCTAATTATTCGTTTTTAAGCCCACGTTTTTTTTTTCTTTCGTAAAACTACGGGAGCTACATTTTTTTTAAATAGACTAAATGATTTTTTTCTTTTCCGAATAATGTACATTTTATATGTTTTCATTGTGATAGTAAATACATATTATAATAGTTTGTCGTATTATCTTTGACAATAATTGTTTAGTTGGGATTGATAAAAACAATTGAATCGATGTTTTAATATTATTAATATTTGACATTTGGATATTGTTTTTTCTTTTCTGTTTCAGTACTACGAGATGTCGTATGGCCTCAACGTGGAGATGCACAAACAGGTGAGATCTCATCGGAAATAATAATACTAATTAATTATTTAATTCATTAATTTGTTGTGTATTTATAATTATATAGGGGGGGAAAAAATGCAGCAATTATTGAAACGATCGTTCCTCGGTTAAATTTACTTTTGTTTAAAAAAAGAAAATTATTTAAAAAAGTTAGTTTTATTTGAAAAGGGGTAAATTTAGATAATGAAGATCTTCAAGATAAACGTACGATACACTGACGGGGGGATTCTCGCAGGGAAGATCGTGCGAGTCGATTACTTTGAATTGAAAATGAGTGCGGGGTGAATGGGGTGGAGGAAAGGTTAAAAAAGAGATAAGAAATAGAAAGAAAGAAAGAAAGGGAAAGTTTAAGGGTGAACGTTTAAGCTTGGAAAATCGTGTAATTTCGGCTAATTAAGGGAAACATTTAAAGGATCAGCCCTCCCCCCGGTTCCCCTTTTCTACTGTCAGCAATTTTCTTAAAAGCAAGTTTTTTAAATAGCTCGCCGTTTCGTTTTAACAACACGTCTTAAACTACTTGCCTGTTTACTGCCAAGGAAAATAAGTATGGCAAGTACAGCATACAGAAATAACCTAACCGAAACTCCAAAAGCAACCCCTTGTTGCACCCCTACACGACGAAAGGGACGAGCTGATATTCATTAGCATTAGCGGCCGATCATTTCTCACCCTTGTACCTAAGGGCAAGGGACTTAATGGGGTGCAAGCCCAACAACGAATCGAGTATTGGTTGTTAAAGAGATTCAGGAAAATGGGGAAGGGGGAATATACAAAGATTGGAGGGTTTGGGGGAAAACAAGTAGAATCAATTCTGTGTTTTCTTTCTTTTTTTTTTTTTTACACGGTAAATAGGTGCCTAGGAAAAAATACTATTGTAATATATAAAATAATATTATTATTAATAATCATAATAATAATAATAATTGAAAGTATTGAAATTCTTTGAATAAGTTTAATTGTGTTAAATCATAATTCGTGTTAGGAAAACAAAAAAAAGAAGATAAAAAGGACCGCGTGAGTATTAAAATAAGATTTGAATAGTACTCGTTCGAGTTGAAATAAAGAAAAAAAAAAGAAAATAAAAAGAAATTGTATTCATTAGTCCAATCCACTAGGAAATATATTTTTTATAGGTTCTTCGTAGATCAGTTCGACCGTGTTATTTTAATCAATTGCTATACCCACTTCACGAATCGTTCGATATTTATTTACGATAAGAACCGAACGAGAAAGAAAGTAGGACTCTCGTCGAAAAGTACGTGGGGTGTCGGGGGAGAGAAGGGGTAGTAAAAAAAAAAAGTTCTCCAGCATTTTTAATCGACGTTAAATAAAACATTTTCGATTAACACAAATTTTAATTCTATATAATATTTATAATTCTATAAAATATAATAATTTGTGAAAAATTCATATAGATTTTTTGGATAACATTTATTCAATGATTTATTTAATGGTCCAGCAAGTAATTATTAACGAGTTTTTTCCGTTTATCATATTTTACAAACAAAAAGTACAGTTAAATCTGTATATCCGTCGTAAATCTCGTAATCGATTCGTTTACGGTATAAAATAAAATAAAATGAAAAAAGAATAAAAAAAAGAAAAGAAAAAAAGGAAAAAGAAGAATCGAGAACTTTTGGTAACGGGTAAAAGTTAATGAAACTACTCGACAGAAGTTGTCGCAGTACCCCAACTGTTAATTGATAGATACGAGTGGTAATAAAATTATTAAATTGAAAAAAGCAACAAATCAATAATAATAAAAATAAAAACTAAGCGTTGGTAGGGAAAAGTAAATCAATTCCCTGTAGGTTAAAAAACTCTCCTCCACCCCTGTTCTTCCAGAATCCCCTCACCCTCTGTAACCATCACCACACCCCCGTTGATACAACCGACAAATTGTGAACGAATCTAATATATAACCCGGTATAATATATCCATCTATTTTTCTTTTCCTTTCTATTTTTTTTCCTTTTTCCCCTTTCCACTTCCCCCCACCCCTCTCATTTCTTTTTGTCTATTATACTCTTTGAAAAAAGCAAACGAAGCGTAGTCGTCGTCGTCGGGCGGGGGTGGGTTTAATTGGAAGAAAAATGAATAGTTATTGTTTTTTTTTCGCGAGACTACCCTAATTAACTATAATAACACGGACTCGTGAACAATTTTGCAATATTCATATCTCTCTCTCTCTCTCTCTATCTCTCTCTCTCTTTCTTTCTATCTTTTTCTAACCAAAACGGATTAATCTGTTTTTTTATTTGAAACGTGCAACGTGCAACGTGCAACGTTTATAAAACGTCGTGTATATAAAAAGGGCACGGAACGATCAGTAAGAGAACGGAGAACGATAAATTATCTCCTTTATCAAACCCACCCTTTTTTTCTCTCCTCTCTTGTACCTACCCTTACTCTTACCCTTACCCTACTCTACTCTATCCAACCTTTCTCTTTTGCTACCATCTACCAAGTTGAGAGTTACGATAAAAGACACGAACCAGCACGGTGTGTACCGGAAATAATCTATAATATCGTATACCTCCCCTATCTTTCTTTTCTTTCCACCCCCATCATCCCTTTTCCAAATTTACGTAACTCGTACATCGATCATCCGAGTAACGATCTTCCCTCTCTCTCTCTCTCTCTCTCTCTCTCTCTCTCTCTCTCTCTCTCTCTCTATCTATCTATCTATCTATTTCTTTCTCTTTCTCTTGGTCATTTTTCTTCAAAATCATTTATCACGTATCATTTATCATTTATCACGAGAGAATAAATGCGATGCACGAGAACGGTTGAGTTCTTCCCAGTAGTGGTGATGGTTGTAGTAATGGTAATGGTAATGGTTGTGGTGGTGGTGGTGGTCCATCGTTTTCCTATTTCATTTCACTGTCTTTTTCCTAACTCTCTGGAGAAAACACGTGAGAAAGGAAACAAGATATGTCTTCTTTCATTCTCCGTGTATAAAAGTGACTATGTATGTGTATGTGTAGATATGTACTATGTAGAAATGTTAGATCATTTTCTATGTATGAGAATAACTATATGTGTGTGTGTGTGTGTGTACGTAAAAATGTTAGAGAGAAAAGAACGGGGGAAAAAAAATATATATATATCATCATCCCCTTCCCCCTCCCCCTCTTTCTCTCCTGTTCCCTAAGAAGTTGGTTCCTCTGACACTTATAGGAAGCTTTCGAATCCGCGTGGGGTTCTTCCTCGGTTCTCGGCTCTTCTTTTTCAATTGGACTAACCCTCCTCCTCCTGCCCCTTCTTCTCCCTTTTTCTTCTTTTTCTTCTTCTAACCGAATGAAAACAATCTTCCCTCACACCCACCCACCCCCCTACGAGGTTAGAGCTCTACTTCTATCTTACTACCACCACCAGCCCCTCCACTCCGTCTTTAAGTCTCAAGCTTTTACACTTTTTTATCTTTTTTTTTTTTTTTCTTTTTTCTTTTTTTTAGTTGCCACCGTCGATAATATTCTATCCCTTTCTTTCTTATTATTCTATTTTACAGTCTTTTTCAACCCTCATCCTCCAACCCTCTCTCTCTCTTTATATATATATATATATATATATATCTATCTCTATCGTTCTTTTATTACAATATTGATTCTCTTTTTCTATTTCTCTCGTTCTTCTATTACAATATTGATTCTTCTCTTTTTCCATCTATTTTATTTTCTCTCTTATTCTTCTATTACGCGATTTTTCTCTCTTTTTATTTCTCTCTCACTCTCCCTTATTATTTCTTTATCTTCCTTCTCTGTCTTTTATTCTTCTATTACAATTTTTTCTTTTTATTACTTTTCCTTACTTTTTCTCTTTCTTTTTTTTCATGTTCGTTTTTTTCTCTCTTTCTCTCTCTCTCTCTCTCTCTCTCTCTTGTTCCTTTTCTCTTTGTCACACCCACACGAAAATCCGTAGTCGTTGACTCTTTCTCTTTTACTCGTAGCTAGGATCGACCCCAACATTTGCTTCTCTCTCTCTCTCTCTCTCTTTCTCTAGTTTAAAACCCCTTGAAACACAGACGAAGCTACAACACCACCGTTTTACTACTCCGAGCTAACTCGAATTCATCGACTACGATGACGATGTCCCAGTTTGGATTACGATTCTCCCTCCTCCCACCTCCCACACTCTTTCCCCACCCTTAACCCCCTGTTTAAACACTCGTAGCTCTTACGGTCACGAATCTTGAAAGTCCTGAAAGAGGGGAAGATCAAAAACAAAGAGAGAGAGAGAGAAGAGGGTTGAAAGAAAAAGGGGTGAGGAACGGGGTGAACGATCATCGATATCGGTCTTGCGGTAAAATCGGTGGTGGTGGTAGTGGTAAAGTGTCGGTGGTGGTGGTGGTGGTGGTGCTGGGGGTGGGTGGTGTTTGTGGTGGTGAACTTTGAAATGAAACGAGATCCCGTTTCTTTCTCGAGAATATTTACAATTTACTCGGTGAGTTAGTTTATCTATCACATTTTATTTTTCTAGAAATCATTTTTACAAGATAATATATATATATATATAACATATACATACACACACAACGATTAAGAATAATATAAATTAATAATTATATGCTTTTCTCTCTCTGTTTTTTTGGTTTTTTTTTTCTAACACTTGCATTCAAATATTATTCTATTTTTTTTTTTTTTTTCGAAATTTGTACCGAAATAAAATTCGTCTACGACAAATGACACCGAGATGGTGGACGGGAGAAAGCAAGGGGAGGAGAGAACGGGGGAGAAAACTCGGTGAAATTTGAAACGTTATCGGAAATAAAAGCGGCGACTTTTTCCTGTCGTGAACGGGAAAGGAACAAGGAAAAAGGAAAAAAAAAAAAGAAAGKGGAGAAAGAAAAACGAATAAGTCCGGGAATGAAGCTAGAGGTGGAGGAGGGTGGCGGGGGAGGGTGTTAGCGGATCAAGAGAAAGAGAAAGAAAAAGGAAATAGAAAAAACAAAAAGAGATAGGATACAGTAATGAGTTTCAACGATTAAT